CAGGAAACCAGGCAAAAAGCCTAGTCACGTCAGTGTACCAAGCCAGTGGAATGTAGGCATTCATGGCATTCACTAAGAGGTGGAAAAACACTGATGGCTGTATTCTATCACCAGTCAAAACCACTGTCAGCGCCAAGAAGCCTCAAGGACTTCCCCCATAGCAGTCGTTATAAAAAGGATATAATGCTGTAGAGAAGTTCTGCAAAAGATCAAGGAGGATAGTTAGAATGATCACTGGGTTGAAGAATCTTCTGTCGGAGGTAGACTTTAAGACTTCAGTCTGGAAAAGTCCAAGATTAAGAGAGCATGTGACCAGGACCAGCAGGTGGCATAGCAGTTAAATCTCTGGACTCCCACATAGCCGACTGCGGCTCAAGTCCCAGACCCAGTGACTTGAAAGTCACAACGCAAACGTGTGCGCGCGTGCCCAAGATCCCAGGAGGAGAATGGAGAGGAAAGAATTGCAGCATGGCCATCCCCCCCGGGGGAAGATTTCTCACTTTCCCTATCACTCTCTCTGTCTCTCTTGGGCAAGTGCATACGTTCTAAGGCAGAAACCTCTGGGGAAAAAAAGAGAGAGCATGTGACCAGATTGGAGAATAGATGAGTCATTATATATTATTTTGAGCAGAAGACACTAGAGGACATAAAATACAAAATATGGTCTCCCACCTGCATTCATTGTAGTGTCTGGGCTGAGGAGATGAGCTATACGTAGGTGGTAAAGTAGATGACCACATAAGATGTATAAGGCAGCATGGGATTAATGCCACATAACTGAGACAAAAGCAAATTTTTTTGTTTGTTTGTTTGTTTGGAGAGGTTTTCGCTCTAGGTCGCCAGACAGAGAGAGACAGAGAGACAGAAAGCGAGAAATCACCCCCCCAGAGGGGATAGTCACGCTACAATCCCTTCTCCTCCATTCTCCTCTCGGGATCTTGGGCACGCACGCACACGCGCCCGGCGTGAGTTTTAAGCCACGGGGTACGGGATGCGAACCATGGTCGACTATGTGGGAGTCCAGCGACATAGCCATTATGCTAACTGCTGGTTCCCGAAGCTAGATTTATTTTTTTTTTATTAATTCACTTTACACCATCACAACACACAAATGAATTTTCCATCCAAAATACACTGTGCATTGGCTCAATCAAGCACATCCACATACATGTTCTCAGCAAATAATTTTCCAATTCTTACGTCCTGCATACCTTGCCCTTTGTCTTGCCATCCCTGATTCCCCATCCCCCACCCTCTGCTATGTCCCATCTTCCTCCCCCATTGTCCCTGGCATCCATGGTTGCCCTCCACACCTTCCTCCCCTGCCCCATTCAATTGTTCTGCCAATGAACTTAATTAGTCTAAATAAATCCATTAGCTAGCACAGCTGACACAAACCTACACATGTATCCAAGTCTGACCCTA